TGCGAGCGCAGCCGGTGGGGCCCTCGGTGGAGCTCCCTATGGTGCCACGAATCGAGCGAGGGGTGTGCCAAAATGGACGCGGCAGCGCCATACGAGCGCAGCCACTGGGGCCCTCAGTGGAGCCCCCTATTGGGCTACGAAGCGTGTGAGGGGTGTGCCGAAATGGGCGCGGCATCGCCATGCGAGCGCAGCCACGGGGGCCGTCGGTGGAGCTCCCTGTCGGGCCACGAAACGCGTGAGGGGTGTGCCGAAATGGGCGCGGTTTCGCCATACGGCCGTAGCCACTGGGGCCCTGGGTGGAGCTCCCTTTGGGACCACGAAACGTGTGAGGAGAGCAGAGGCAGAAACGGGATGAGGAACCAGGAGGCGGGAGGGAGGGAGGGACGCGGCGCGCTGTCTCTTCAAAACGAGAACCCACACTACAGTTCGGAAACCTTGGAACAGTTCAATCTGCAAATCCCCAGTTCAGATATTGGAAGTTTGGAAGCATCAATCCAGGACTTCCCATACACGAGATGAAGAGCCCACTACGTGCTGGAATTTCCCAAACTGGGTAATTCCAAACAGAAAGCCACGAGTCCTACACCCTGGCAGGAACCTTGCAGGTCCCTGCGCTTTATTATCGCCCGCCTGACCCGCCCGGCCAGACCCGATGCGACCTCACACTTTAAAATGTTGCCCGCCTGACCCGCTTGACCCCTTCCGGCACGCCCGACCAGACTCGATAGGGCCCTGCACTTTAACATCCTCCCCGCCGAACCCGCCCCCCTCTCCTGGGATCCCTGCCCTACTTGACAAATTCGACAAGGCCCTGCACTTTCAGGTCCCGCCCGCGTGACTGGACCCGCCCGTTGGGACGGCTCCACTCGATCCGACTAAACAAAGCTCTATGCTGACATGTTCCGCCCGCTCTGCCCGACCCGCTGTTCGCCCCGCGCCGCCCGACCAGACGCAACAGGGGCCCACACCACGAGTGTGCCGGCCGCCTCACCCGCTTCGCCCCTTCGCCCTGCCTCACTCGACAGAAGCTCGATGAAACGCGACCTGTCGATACCTCGCCCGCTGGACCCGTCCCGCCGCTTCGCGTCGGCCCACCTGACCACCTCGCGTGGGGCTCGACGGTGTCCTACACTCTGACGTCTCGCCTGCATGGCCCGCCCACCCGCACGGCCCTGGCCCACCAGACTAGACTAACCCCAAAATGCCTCAAGAAGGTCAAAACATACTCAAAACATAGTCCCCTGACCATTTTTGGAATATGTTTTGACTATTTTGTTTGTTTTTATTTTTCGTCGAAAATCCTCCTGTAGGGGGACAGGCCCGACTTAAGACTAGACGCGGTAGGGCCCCACACTCTGCTGTTCTGCCTGCCCGACACGCCGTGCCCCTCGCCCCGGCCCCCTCGACCAAACTCAGCTAGGGACTTCCGCTTTCGTGACCCACCCGCCCGCCTGACCCGCTTCGTCCGATCGCGCGCGAGAAGGCCCCACACCTTCCTGTCCCGCCCGCCTCGCCCGCCCTGCTCGCGTGCCCCGCCCCACCTGGCCGGGCTCTGCAGAATCCTGCGTGCAGATGCCCCGCCCGCTCGCCCCGCCCCGCCCGTAGGCCCGCTTCGCTGGGCCACACTCGATAGAGATCCATACGTTCTTGTCCCGCCCGCCCGACCCGCCCGTCGGCCCCGCCCCGCCGACCGTCGGGAGCGGCCAAGAGGGGGGTGTCCAAGGGGTGGGGGGTGCAAATCATGACCGGCGGCAGGTGCGCGGCCCATGGGGGGGGCCAGGGACGCAATGGAATAAGAGGAGGCGCCATGAGATCTGAGGAGATATCTATCGTGGCCCCCGCCATGATATCCACCCCCCCCCCTAGTCACCACAGACCCCTCTTTGCCGCCCCCGAGACCGCACTCGATAGAGACCCACACTTCCATGTCTGGCCCTCCCGACCCGCCTGGCTCATCCGTCGGCGCCGCTCTGCCGACCACGCCCGACAGAGACCCACTCGTCACGGTCGGACCTGGGACAGAAGAACAGCCTACAAGCCTCGTCAAGACATATCCAGAAATGGAAGTTGAAATCCCGGAGCACGACGCTTTCGGGCACTTGTCTGAAAGCTCGTTCTGCAATGCTGAGGGGGCGGGGGCGGTTTTTGGACAACACCGCGTCCGAGTCAACAGGCATCCGTCAGCATTGGAGTAGCGCTGACCCCACAATCACCGAATTCAGAAGTCTTCTGTTTATTTTTGACGAGGCTTGTAGGGCCATCCTAGGACATGAGACCCTCCGCTGGCCAAACTCAGAGAACATCCAAGGGCACCCTCCCCAGGGTGCACGAGAACACCCAGCGAGCACGAAAAACCTCAGGGTACCCTCCCCGAGTCGACCTCGATCTCAGACCTCGGTCCGACCGTACAGCGGATAGACATCCACACTTTCATGCCCCGCCCGCCCGACCCGCCCCGCTCTTCGCCCTGCCCCGCCCGACCAGACTCGATAGGGCTCCACACTGTTTGACGCCCGCCCGGCCCGCCCTGCCTGGCTCGCCCGCTGGGACCGCCCGCCAGGCTCGCAGGAGACAGGAGAACGAGGACGGGAAGGCAGAGAAAGAGAACCAGGAGCGAACAGCACGTGAGGTACGGATGCGTCGAAACTGAAAAACTGGGACTTGGAGTTATCAGACCGGACGTCTCTGGATTGAAGCACAAACTACTTGAAACCACAACCACATGTCAACTAGAACCACGCGCGCGCTTCACCAGCGCTTAGGTTCTCTAGTCTCAGGCAAATGTCACGCTCATCCTCCGCCTACGCTCCATCTTCATTCTCGCTCTCCTCCTCCTCATCGTTCTCCTCTCCCCAGTCTTCCTCATGGTCACCCCCCTCATCGGTTTCTCGTCCTCCTCTCCTGCGCCTCTCGTTCTCGGATGCATACTAATCGCCCGAGCGCAGGCGGGGAAGCGGGGAAGGATCGGGAGGAGGAGGAGGAGGAGGAGGAGGAGGAGGACGAGGAGGAGGAGGAGAGGAGGAGAGGAGGAGGAGGAGGAGGAGGAGGAGGAGGAGGAGGAGGAGGAGGGGGAGGGAGGAGGAGGAGGAGGAGGAGGGGAGGAGGAGGAGGAGGAGAGGGGGAGGAGGAGGAGGAGGAGGAGGAGGAGCAGGAGGAGGAGGAGGAGGAGAGGAGGGAGGAGGAGGAGGAGGAGGAGGAGGAGGAGGAGGAGGAGGAGGAGGAGGAGGAGGAGGAGGTGGAGGAGGAGGAGGAGGAGGAGGAGGAGGAGGAGGAGGAGGAGGAGGAGGGAGGAGGAGGAGGAGGAGGAGGAGGAGAGGAGGAGGAGGAGGAGGAGGAGGAGGAGGAGGGAGGAGGAGGAGGAGGAGGAGGTGGAGGAAGAGGAGGAGGAGGAGGAGGAGGAGGGGAACGCAGTGATGGGGAAGCGGGAAGGATCGGGCCCAGCAGGCGGCGGCGGTGCCCCGGGCGCTCGGCGCCGTGCCCTCTCGGCCCAGAGTTCCGGGGGCCCCCCCAACTGGGAGGGCCTCGGCCCGTGCCCTGGGGCCGGGCTTCTCACCCCGAGCCACCTTCCTTCGGGGCTCGAGGAGGAGGAGGAGGAGGAGGAGGAGGAGGAGGAGGAGGAGGAGGAGGAGACAGGGGAGGAGACACGAGAGAAGGGGGAGGGAAGGGAGGGAGGGGAACGGACGCCTCCGCGTCCGCCCGCGCCACAGACCACCACGGCGGCGGCGGCGCCGGTAAGAATCCAGGGGGCCTTCCGTCTGGCAGGCGGGGCAAGGACTGGGTCGGGCATGTCCTCCTACAGGCGGATCTTGGAAGAAAAACCAGGGCATTGTCAGAAGTACCCCCAAACAGTCAAAACATAGTAAAACACAAACTCGTCCCCATGCGATGTGTTGACTATTTTTGGAAACTCCTCCTGTACAGGGACGTACCCGACTGAAGACGAGGAGGAGGAACGACGGCTCTAGAGGAGCCCCATGGGTGGCCGCCAGGGGAGCCCCGACGGGACCAGAAGCAGAGCCCGAGCTCAAGCCGCGGGAGAGCCTCCTGGCTCCTCGCTCTCGGGGGAGAGGAGGAGGAGGAGGAGGAGGAGGAGGAGGAGGAGGAGGAGGAGGAGGAGGAGGAGGAGGAGGAGGTGGAGGTGGGAGGAGGAGGAGGAGGAGAGGAGGAGGAGGAGGAGGAGGGAGGAGGAGGAGGAGGAGGAGGGAGGAGGAGGAGGAGGAGGAGGAGGAGGAGGAGGAGGAGGAGGAGGAGGAGGAGGAGGAGGAGGAGGAGGAGGAGGAGAGGAGGGAGGAGGGAAGGAGGCGAGAGGAGGAGGAGGAGGAGGAGCGAGCGTCCCTGGGAGGAGGAGGAGGAGGAGGAGGAGGAGGAGGAGGAGGAGGAGGAGGAGGAGGAGGAGGAGGGCCTCTTGGGGCCTCCCAGAGGGTCATGGGGGCACGCGGGGAGCCCGCCAAGAAAATGCCCCCAGGCCCCTCTCGGCCCCCCTCTCGGGACCCTGGCGTCTCGCTGGGGGTCCCTTGGGGATCTTGGGGCACTCTTGGGCCGTCTTGGTGGCCCATTGGGCCGTATTGGGGTCATCTTGGGCCTTTCTGGTGCGTCTTGGGGCGAACGGAGAGGCCCCCCGGGGCCGTCCGGGGCTGTCGGAAGAACGATAAAGCGAGAACGCTGAAATACGCGAAAACCCAAAACGAAATCTATCAGCCCTTTCGGGGGTGCTCATGAGGCTTTCTTGGGGTGTGTGGGGGGCATCTTAGGCCGCCATGAAGCCATCGAGGGCTACTTTAGAGCGCTGTAGAATCGTCTTGGGCATGTCTTGGCAGTCTTGGGGGCCGTGTGGCCCTCTTGGGCCGTCATGGGGATCTTGGGCCGTGTATGGCCGCTAGGGAGCGCGCACGACAATAGTCGCGGAGCACTTCTTCACAATTCATCTAGCTCCCCGTCCTGCGCGACCTCGTCCTCCTCCTTCTCCTCCTCTTCCTCCTCCTCCACCTCCTCCTCCTCTGGCATTGCCAGGGGAAGCCACCCTGGGTGCACCGGTGGACACCTCGCCCACACTGGCGCACTGCAATGCCTGGGGGAGCCACTCCTGGGGGCGCCGGTGGACACCTCGCCCACACTGGCGCACCAGAGTGCCTGGAAGAGCCGTTCTGGGGGCATGTGGACGCCTCTCCATAAAAAACTGTCGCACTGCAATGACTGGGGAGCAAGTCTTGGAGCGCCGGTGGACACCTCGCCCACGCTGGCGCACCAGAGTGCAAACCGAAAGCCATTAGACACCTCGCCCACACTGGCGGGCGCACCGCAATGCCTAGGGGAGCCATTTGGGGGTTTTCTGTGGACGCCTCTCCAGGAAACTGGCATGTACTGCAACTGGAGGGTAGCAGCTCTTGGGGCTCCGGTGGACACTTCGCCCACATGACTGGCGCAAGGGCCACTATGCGCGCGCCGGTGGACACCTCGCCCAAACAGGCGCACCGCACGAATGCGCTGGACGGCCTGCGCGAGATAGTATACTTAAGTCGGGCATGTCCCCTTACAGGGGGACTTTGCATACCCCAAACAATACCCCAAAATACTCAAAAACAAGTCCCCAGACTATTTTTGAATATTCCCCCTGGTAGAGGGACAGGCCCGACTTAATCGCATACAGCAACAGAAAAGGCCTCATCTGAGGACCGCGGCAGGCATCGCGCCGGCAGGTGGTGCGCCCGGTCTCGCAGATGAGGAGGGAGGAGGCAGATGGATGGTGGACGTAGGAGGCGGAGCCGAATGGAGGGAGAGGAGGAGGAGGAGGAGGAGGAGGAGGAGGAGGAGGAGGAGGAGGCGACGTGAGGACAGATTCAACCCGTAGGCTCAAATCTGCTCCAAATTGCAGGCAAAGAGAAATGACGTCATCCACTTTAAAACATGTGACCATTGTCGAAATGAGATATTGAACCTCACAAGGAGATTCAAAGATGATTCTCCCTCCGGCACGTTGCGACCTCAAGTCAAAAGCCGAGCAATCCAAGCCTCGACGGAACTGACGGAACTGAAGGAGGAAGACGAGGAGAAGAAGAAGAAGAAGAAGAAGAGAAGAAGAAGAGGCGGAAGGATAAATGCCCAGGTCGAAGCGTATCGAGGCTGATCGACTCGCAATGTATGGTTCGGATCTACCTAGTCGAGCTCGAACGGCCTTTTTCCTGTTCGTGGCGATGGCCCCAGCCCTCGCCGCGAGACGCCTTCGCATCTGCTCTCCACCCCACCTCTTGAGATGCCTAGGGCAATCTTAGTGCAGCAGAAAATCAACCACAATTTAAACCCGTTTTACCAGCGCAGACCCTGGCGTTGTGGTGAAACGCAGGTGAAGCGGTCCTGGGCCTCCCCCTGTCCGCCGCCCGCCTCCCTCCCGCTCCCTCCTCCTCCCTCCTCTCGCCCCCCCCTCGCTCGCGCTTATCGTCCTTCCTTCCGTCTTCCCCGTCCTGCGCGCAATTCTTAGGATCACCCTTCGTAGTGCTAATCCCCATTGCCCTTCCGAGTGCCAGTCCCCTCCCCCTCCAATCCTTCCTCGTAACACCCCCTCCTCCTCCTCCTCCTCCTCCTCCTCCTCCTCCTCCTCCTCCTCGTGCTTCTTCCCTCCTTTTTCCTCCCTATCGTGCCAATGTTAGGGCATCAACCACAAGCGATGGCGAATCGCAACAGACAAGGCAAGCGGGACCCAAGGCTGGCACTGCATCCTGTTGCCTCCTTCTCCTCATCCTGCTCCTCCCCATTCTCCTCGTCCTTCTGTTCCTCCTCCCCTCTGCCTCCATCCCTCTTGAGCCGTCTGGGGCCGGTCCAGACCCCCTCCAGGGCCCTCGTAGACGTTTCGTGGGCAATCTTGGGATCATTCTGGGCCCCCATTGTGAGATCCTCGGGAGCGGGGGAAAAGCTGAACTGAAATCGGTCGTCCTCTTTGATTCGTGGGCCGCGTCGGAGTCCTGCCGGGACGGGGAATACGCCGTTTCTGAGGCTTCCCGTCTCTCGTGGGAACGTCGTGGGTACCCTCAGGTTGAACGATTTTGCCAACTTGGGGGCAGTCTCGAGGAACTCTTGTTTGAAGCCTTCTTTGGGGCCTCTCGGGCGCATGCTGGAGAGGCTGTACGGGGGGAATGTCGGGGGCCGTCTTGGGGATCTATTGGGGCCATCTTGGGGCCGTCTTGGGTTCCTTCGGGCCGTCTTGGAAGCGCCTTGGGGCCGCAATGAAGCCGTCTATTGCCCGCCGTGGGCCGTCTCGGCGCTCTGTTGGGCCATCGTTTGCCCCCCCTGGAAGCCCTGTTGGGGCATCTTGTTGGGGGGAGGGGTTCTGCTCTGGGGGGCCGCTCCGACGCCGCACCTGGACGTGAAAGCGAGGCCGCACGCCGCACGTCGCTCTGAATCTCCCCGAGCCCGCTGCATGGGGCCTCACCGTCCGTCAGCCCGGAGAGGAGCAGAAGGCAGCACGGTGAAGCTGGGGGATGGGCGGGAAGGGGCGGGAGCGAGGCCGCTTGGAAGCGCTGGCCGGCCGCTGGTGCTCTGGCGGAACGGGGAGCAGAACGGCGGATCGAGAATAGCAGGCGTGAGTGCGTGTGTGTGAAGGTCGGTGGATTGTTGCTGCTTCCCACCCGCACAGAGCTCTGACACAGAAGAGAGAGAGAGAGAGAGAGAGAGAAAGAGGAGAGCAGAGCGGCAACGCGGCGTGTCGAGCCGACCCGCCAGAGCATGACGGCCGTGAGCAGCAGCTGCAGCTCCTCCCTCATACTCCCACCACGGTGGTTGATTACAGTCGGGGCGTCGACCTCAGGAACCCTAAATAAGGAACGAGGCCCCTTTTTTCCCATCAGTTGAACTTCCATCTCCCAGGGAAAACCCGCAGGGCAAACTGCAAACCAACCAAGGAACACCGAGCCCCTCCCCAACGACAAGGGCTCCTTCTTCAGCGCCCCGAGTGTATGGTGGTTTCTTCTCCCAAAGGAGTCCAGGGTCTGGGGGCCCGCAGAACTCCAGTCGTGGAGTGGCCACGGATGTCGCCCCCCTCCTCCCCCTCCTCGAAAATATGGATGTCGCCCCTCAAGGTATAGAGGGGGAGGAGGGGGGCACGTGGGCCCCCCAATGGAGGAGGGGGAGGAGGGAGAGCCCGCAGAGCTCCAGTCGTGGAGTGGCCCACGGAGGTCACCGCCGCCCTCGCCGGACGAGGACCCCCCCCCAGGGGTCTGAGGCCTCCCAGGCATGCTCCCCAACGAACGCCCCCACCGTACCACCCACGTTAGGTCGGGCGTGTCCTCCTGCAGGCGGATGTTGGACGAGAAATGAAAAAATACCCCGGAACTTACTCGAGAATAGCCAAGAAATGCGGAATTATCCCGGCAAAGCAACCTAACAACGATGTGCAGGAGCATATCTGGAAGCATTCCCCTTAAGATTCAGATGAGAATCCAGTTGTAGAATTCTGCTGTTCTCGCAGTCGTAGTCGCATTCGCGATGACAGTCGCAGTGGCAACGGCAGTCGCAGTCACAGCCTCAGCCTCAGCCTGCCTCAGCCTCAGCCTGCCTCAGCCTCAGCCTCAGCCTGCCTCAGCCTCAGCCTCAGCCTGCTTCAGCCTCAGCCTCAGTCTGCCTTTAGCCTCGGCCTCAGCCTCAGCCTGCCTCAGCCTCAGCCTGCATCAGCCTCAGCCTCAGCCTCAGCCTGCCTCAGCATCAGCCTGCCTCAGCCTCAGCCTCAGCCTGCCTCAGCCTCAGCCTCAGCATGCTTCAGCCTCAGCATCAGTCTGCCTTCAGCCTCGGCCTCAGCCTCAGCCTGCCTCAGCCTCACCCTGCATCAGCCTCAGCCTCAGCCTCAGCCTGCCTCAGCATCAGCCTGCCTCAGCCTCAGCCTCAGCCTCAGCCAGCCTCAGCCTCAGCCTCAGCCTGCTTCAGCCTCAGCCACAGTCTGCCTGCAGCCTCGGCCTCGGCCTCAGCCTGCCTCAGCCTCAGCCTGCCTCAGCCTCAGCCTCAGCCTCAGCCTGCCTCAGCCTCAGCCTGCCTCAGCCTCAGCCTCAGCCTGCTTCAGCCTCAGCCTCAGTCTGCCTTCAGCCTCGGCCTCATCCTCAGCGTGCCTCAGCCTCAGCCTGCATCAGCCTCAGTCTCAGCCTCAGCCTGCCTCAGCATCAGCCTGCCTCAGCCTCAGCCTCAGCCTGCCTCAGCCTCAGCCTCAGCCTGCTTCAGCCTCAGCCTCAGTCTGCCTTCAGCCTCGGCCTCAGCCTCAGCCTGCCTCAGCCTCAGCCTGCATCAGCCTCAGCCTCAGCCTCAGCCTCAGCCTCAGCCTGCCTCCGCATCAGCCTGCCTCAGCCTCAGCCTCAGCCTGCCTCAGCCTCAGCCTCAGCCTGCTTCAGCCTCAGCCTCAGTCTGCCTTCAGCCTCGGCCTCAGCCTCAGCCTGCCTCAGCCTCAGCCTGCATCAGCCTCAGCCTCAGCCTCAGCCTGCCTCAGCATCAGCCTGCCTCAGCCTCAGCCTGCCTCTGCCTCAGCCTCAGCCTGCTTCAGCCTCAGCCTCAGTCAGCCTTCAGCCTCGGCCTCAGCCTCAGCCTGCCTCAGCCTCAGCCTGCATCAGCCTCAGCCTCAGCCTCAGCCTGCCTCAGCCTCAGCCTGCCTCAGCCTCAGCCTCAGCCTGCCTCAGCCTCAGCCTCAGCCTGCTTCAGCCTCAGCCTCAGTCTACCTTCAGCCTCGGCCTCAGCCTCAGCCTGCCTCAGCCTCAGCCTGCATCAGCCTCAGCCTCAGCCTCTGCCTGCCTCAGCATCAGCCTGCTTCAGCCTCAGCCTCAGCCTGCCTCAGCCTCAGCCTCAGTCTGCTTCAGCCTCAGCCTCAGTCTGCCTTCAGCCTCGGCCTCAGCCTCAGCATGCCTCAGCCTCAGCCTGCATCAGCCTGAGCCTCAGCCTCAGCCTGCTTCAGCCTCAGCCTCAGTCTGCCTTCAGCCTCGGCCTCAGCCTCAGCCTGCCTCAGCCTCAGCCTGCCTCAGCCTCAGCCTCAGCAGCCTCAGCCTCAGCCTGCCTCAGCCTCAGCCTAAGCCTCAGCTTCAGCTCAGCCTGCTTCGCCTCAGCCTCCGACTCATCCAGCCAAGTTCAATCAGCTCAGTCTGCTTCTCTCCCAAGGCTAGCCTGCCTCAGCTAGCCTGCCTCGCTCAGCCTCAGCCTGCCTCACATTCAGAAATGTGGCCCGGGATGGAGTTCTGGGAACTCGAAGAACACGAAGTGGCCTACAGTTGGCTCCGGGCATTCAAAGTCATGCCCAGGAATGGAAATCTGGGAACTCGAAGACCACGAATTGGCCTACAATTGGCTCTGGGCATTCAAAATCATGCCCAGGAATGGAGTTCTGGGAACTTGAAGACCACGAAGTGGCCTACCGTTGGCTCCGGCCATTCAAAGTCATGCCCAGGAATGGAGTTCTGGGAACTCGAAGAACACGAAGTGGCCTACAGCTGGCTCCGGGCATTCAAAATCATGCCAAGGAATGGAACTCTGGGAACTTGAAGACCACGAAGTGCGTTACAGTTGGCTAAAAAAGGAATCCCCGGTTTCCCGGGGCACCCGTCTGGATCCCGCCCAGACCCCCCTCGGGAGTCATGATGCTTTCTTTTGACCCTACTAGAAACCTATCAGTCTTCGCTGTTAGGTAAAAATCGTCCTCCGAGCAATCTTTAACCAGTTTTGAGCCCGCCACTGGAAATGTATATGTGCCAGTTTCCGATTGGGAGCATCTCGGGCAATCTTGGAGTCCTGTTGGGAGCCTCGCGGGCTGACTTGGGGCTGTCTTGGAGGCCCCGTTGTGCCGTTCTGGGCGCTCGGACACCGAAGCGGACGAGAACCCCAGAATCCGTCAGCATCCTAAGGGCCTCTTAGGGGGCCTCCCTGGGGCTTCTTGAACCTCGTGGGGCCTCTTGGGCCGTCTTCGGAGGCTCTCAGCCCGTCTGGCGCCTCCGGAGGACGTCTCAGGGGCCTGTTGGTGCCATGCCAGTGCCCTCTTGGAGCGCCTTTGGGCTTTCTTGGGGCCCACTTGGGGGCCTCTTGGGCGATCTCGGGGTCCCCTTGGGCCGACTCGGGGCCCTCTTGGGAGCCTCATGGGCTGTCTTGGAAGCCGTTCGGGCCGTCTGGGGCGATCGGTCTTCTTATCATAGACCAATGTTGTGCAACAAGCCAATAACTCTGGCCTCCTCAGGCTCTCTTAGAGCCCTCTTGGGCCGTTTGGGGGGCCTCTTCGGCCGTCTTGGGGTCGTCTTGGGAGAATGTTGCGCCTCCTTGGGCCATCTTGGGCCGTCTTGGTGTCGTCTAGGCTGACTCGGAAGCCGTCTCATAGGCCATCTCTTGGCGTTTAGAGACCGAACAAAAACGCTGGGGAGTGAATTCCAGGGGGGGGCAATCTTCGAGGCACGCGCAGGGCGAGAGGGGGTGGGTAGGTCGGCCCTGGAAAGCATGGAACAACCCTCCCAGAGGGACGAGAGGAGCATTCTAACGAGCCACTGCCGTGCAGGCACGGCCGCGGAGAATCAAGTTCGTCGATTCTCGCGCGGCCCAGGGCGCGAACTAGAATCCAGTTCGGCTCCTGAATGCCCCCGGAACGGTGAACTAGAGTCTAGTTCACCGCTGGGCCCCCAGAACGGCGACCTAGAACCTAGTTCGTCAATTCGTGTGCCCCCCACAATGCACATAGAACGGCAAACTAGAATCTAGTTCGCCTGTCTGGTGCCGCGCAATAGAATCTAGTTCGTCTTGGAACAGCGGAGTAAAATCTAGTTCACCGTTGCGCCCCCAGTCGCCGTTCTGGAGCTCCCCAGAAGGCCCACAGAACGGCAAACTAGACTCTAGTTGTCTTTCTGCCCCCCAGAAGGCCAGTATACCCAGAAGGCCCACATAACGGCAAAATACATCATAGTTCGGCTTTCTGGCGCCGCCAGATGGCCGCCAGAACGGCGAATTGGATTCTAGTTCGTCATTCTGGGGCCCCCAGAACGCCCACAGAACGGCGAACTGGAATCTAGCTCACCGTTCTAGTATCACTCAGATGGCCGCCAGAATGGCGAACTAGAATCTGGTTCGTCTATCTGGCCCCCAGAAGGCTCACATAAAGATAACCTAGAATCTAGTTCGCCGTTCTGACGCCCCCCAGAAGGTCCACATAACTGCGAACTAGAATCGAGGTCGTCTCCTGGTGCCCCAGAAGGCCGCCAGAACGGCGAAGTGGATTCTAGTTGGCTTTTTTTGATGCCTCCAAATGGACCCCAGAACGGCGAACTAGAATCTCCTTGGCCCTGTCCCAGGGGTCCGAACCGCCAAGTTCAGCACTTCAGCGTGAACTGCTGAACGTGGCGGTTCGATGCCCTGGGGCGCCGCCGCCGCCGCCCGCGACGTCGTCCATGTCTCCCCCCTTGTCTCTTATCCTCCTGGCTCCGCCCTAGGGTTCCGAAGCGGCCTCCCCAAGAGGCCCCAAACAGGCCCCGAAGCGGCCTCCAGGACCTGAGGGGGCCTCGAGAAGCTATAGGAGGCCTCCCGAGAGGCACCAGCAAGCCTCTCATAGGGGCCTCTGACCCACAACACAGGTACTGTGGTGGAATGGGCCGAGGACCAGCAACCATAGGAGGGATGAGGAGGGACGAAGGCGGTGCATACTGAGCGACTGGCTGAATCGACGCCAACTCAGAACTGCCAGAAGCAAAAGCGAGGAGAACATGGATGCGAGGAGTGAGGAGACATGCCTGAAGATGGATGGATGTAAACTTTGAACTGGCTGAAAACGAACTAATCAACAGCTTGGCCCAACAGTCGAACACAGCGCAGGCGCTGAAGCGAATGACATGCCGAATGACGTCACAGCATGAACTCAATTCATCTGCAATGTGGCACATCATGCCGGCACCGTGGCGCTCGCAGAAAACAAGTAATATGAACGAGCACATGTCCCGTGTGAAAGTCGCGAGGCGACAGACACTGGCGAGCCACTGCCAGGTGAGCATGGCACAGTCGAAGACGACTGTAGCCCTGGCACCCTCGTGCCACGGAAGGGGCACTTGACCACCTTGAGGGCTGAAAAATTCAGTTTGAGATTGCTCAGTTAAGAAAATTAGGCGTTCCAGCTTGTGCAACTCTTTCAACTCCAAGGGTACAGATTGAACCCGAAACGCATAACTGATAATCGCAGTCCCGCGCTCACAGGATTTTGGAAGTATCCTGGCGCAAGTCCCAACCAAATGCAACTGTGAGTACCGCGTTGTAGGTACCGCGTTCAGCACTCTGGTGCCACGAAACGTGTGAGAGAGGTGCCGAAATGGGCGCGGTGGTGCCATGCGAGCGCAGCCGGTGGGGCCCTCGGTGGAGCTCCCTATGGTGCCACGAATCGAGCGAGGGGTGTGCCAAAATGGACGCGGCAGCGCCATGCGAGCGCAGCCACTGGGGCCCTCAGTGGAGCCCCCTATTGGGCTACGAAGCGTGTGAGGGGTGTGCCGAAATGGGCGCGGTATCGCCATGCGAGCGCAGCCACGGGGGCCGTCGGTGGAGCTCCCTGTCGGGCCACGAAACGCGTGAGGGGTGTGCCGAAATGGGCGCGGTTTCGCCATACGGCCGTAGCCACTGGGGCCCTGGGTGGAGCTCCCTTTGGGACCACGAAACGTGTGAGGAGAGCAGAGGCAGAAACGGGATGAGGAACGAGGAGGCGGGAGGGAGGGAGGGACGCGGCGCGCTGTCTCTTCAAAACGAGAACCCACACTACAGGATAGTTCGGAAACCTTGGAACCGTTCAATATGCAAATCCCCAGTTCAGATATTGGAAGTTTGGAAGCATCAATCCAGGACTTCCCATACACGAGATGAAGAGCCCACTACGTGCTGGAATTTCCCAAACTGGGTAATTCCAAACAGAAAGCCACGAGTCCTACACCCTGGCAGGAACCTTGCAGGTCCCCGCGCTTTATTATCGCCCGCCTGACCCGCCCAGCCAGACCCGATGCGACCTCACACTTTAAACTGTTGCCCGCCTGACCCGCTTGACCCCTTCCGGCACGCCCGACCAGACTCGATAGGGCCCTGCACTTTAACATCCTCCCCGCCGAACCCGCCCCCCTCTCCTGGGATCCCTGCCCTACTTGACAAATTCGACAAGGCCCTGCACTTTCAGGTCCCGCCCGCGTGACTGGACCCGCCCGTTGGGACGGCTCCACTCGATCCGACTAAACAAAGCTCTATGCTGACATGTTCCGCCCGCTCTGCCCGACCCGCTGTTCGCCCCGCGCCGCCCGACCAGACGCAACAGGGGCCCACACCACGAGTGTGCCGGCCGCCTCACCCGCTTCGCCCCTTCGCCCTGCCTCACTCGACAGAAGCTCGATGAAACGCGACCTGTCGATACCTCGCCCGCTGGACCCGTCCCGCCGCTTCGCGTCGGCCCACCTGACCACCTCGCGTGGGGCTCGACGGTGTCCTACACTCTGACGTCTCGCCTGCATGGCCCGCCCACCCGCACGGCCCTGGCCCACCAGACTAGACTAACCCCAAAATGCCCCAAGAAGGTCAAAACATACTCAAAACATAGTCCCCTGACCATTTTTGGAATATGTTTTGACTATTTTGTTTGTTATTTTTCGTCGAAAATCCCCCTGTAGGGGGACAGGCCCGACTTAAGACTAGATGCGGTAGGGCCCCACACTCTGCTGTTCTGCCTGCCCGACACGCCGTGCCCCTCGCCCCGGCCCCCTCGACCAGACTCAGCTAGGGACTTCCGCTTTCGTGACCCACCCGCCCGCCTGACCCGCTTCGTCCGATCGCGCGCGAGAAGGCCCCACACCTTCCTGTCCCGCCCGCCTCGCCCGCCCTGCTCGCGTGCCCCGCCCCACCTGGCCGGGCTCTGCAGAATCCTGCGTGCAGATGCCCCGCCCGCTCGCCCCGCCCCGCCCGTAGGCCCGCTTCGCTGGGCCACACTCGATAGAGATCCATACGTTCTTGTCCCGCCCGCCCGACCCGCCCGTCGGCCCCGCCCCGCCGACCGTCGGGAGCGGCCAAGAGGGGGGTGTCCAAGGGGTGGGGGGTGCAAATCATGACCGGCGGCAGGTGCGCGGCCCATGGGGGGGGCCAGGGACGCAATGGAATAAGAGGAGGCGCCATGAGATCTGAGGAGATATCTATCGTGGCCCCCGCCATGATATCCCCCCCCCCCCCTAGTCACCACAGACCCCTCTTTGCCGCCCCCGAGACCGCACTCGATAGAGACCCACACTTCCATGTCTGGCCCTCCCGACCCGCCTGGCTCATCCGTCGGCGCCGCTCTGCCGACCACGCCCGACAGAGACCCACTCGTCACGGTCGGACCTGGGACAGAAGAACAGCCTACAAGCCTCGTCAAGACATATCCAGAAATGGAAGTTGAAATCCCGGAGCACGACGCTTTCGGGCACTTGTCTGAAAGCTCGTTCTGCAATGCTGAGGGGGCGGGGGCGGTTTTTGGACAACACCGCGTCCGAGTCAACAGGCATCCGTCAGCATTGGAGTAGCGCTGACCCCACAATCACCGAATTCAGAAGTCTTCTGTTTATTTTTGACGAGGCTTGTAGGGCCATCCTAGGACATGAGACCCTCCGCTGGCCAAACTCAGAGAACATCCAAGGGCACCCTCCCCAGGGTGCACGAGAACACCCAGCGAGCACGAAAAACCTCAGGGTACCCTCCCCGAGTCGACCTCGATCTCAGACCTCGGTCCGACCGTACAGCGGATAGACATCCACACTTTCATGCCCCGCCCGCCCGACCCGCCCCGCTCTTCGCCCTGCCCCGCCCGACCAGACTCGATAGGGCTCCACAGTGTTTGACGCCCGCCCGGCCCGCCCTGCCTGGCTCGCCCGCTGGGACCGCCCGCCAGGCTCGCAGGAGACAGGAGAACGAGGACGGGAAGGCAGAGAAAGAGAACCAGGAGCGATCAGCACGTGAGGTACGGATGCGCCGAAACTGAAAAACTGGGACTTGGAGTTATCAGACCGGACGTCTCTGGATTGAAGCACAAACTACTTGAAACCACAACCACATGTCAACTAGAACCACGCGCGCGCTTCACCAGCGCTTAGGTTCTCTAGTCTCAGGCAAATGTCACGCTCATCCTCCGCCTACGCTCCATCTTCATTCTCGCTCTCCTCCTCCTCATCGTTCTCCTCTCCCCAGTCTTCCTCATGGTCACCCCCCTCATCGGTTTCTCGTCCTCCTCTCCTGCGCCTCTCGTTCTCGGATGCATACTAATCGCCCGAGCGCAGGCGGGGAAGCGGGGAAGGATCGGGAGGAGGAGGAGGAGGAGGAGGAGGAGGAGGAGGAGGAGGAGGAGGAGGAGGGGGGGGAGGAGGAGGAGGAGGAGGAGGAGGAGGAGGAGGAGGAGGAGGAGGAGGAGGAGGCCATGCACTTTCAGGTCCCGCCCGCGTGACTGGACCCGCCCGTTGGGACGGCTCCACTCGATCCGACTAAACAAAGCTCTATGCTGACATGTTCCGCCCGCTCTGCCCGACCCGCTGTTCGCCCCGCGCCGCCCGACCAGACGCAACAGGGGCCCACACCACGAGTGTGCCGGCCGCCTCACCCGCTTCGCCCCTTCGCCCTGCCTCACTCGACAGAAGCTCGATGAAACGCGACCTGTCGATACCTCGCCCGCTGGACCCGTCCCGCCGCTTCGCGTCGGCCCACCTGACCACCTCGCGTGGGGCTCGACGGTGTCCTACACTCTGACGTCTCGCCTGCATGGCCCGCCCACCCGCACGGCCCTGGCCCACCAGACTAGACTAACCCCAAAATGCCCCAATAAGGTCAAAACATACTCAAAACATAGTCCCCTGACCATTTTTGGAATATGTTTTGACTATTTTGTTTGTTTTTATTTTTCGTCGAAAATCCCCCTGTAGGGGGACAGGCCCGACTTAAGACTAGACGCGGTAGGGCCCCACACTCTGCTGTTCTGCCTGCCCGACACGCCGTGCCCCTCGCCCCGGCCCCCTCGACCAGACTCAGCTAGGGACTTCCGCTTTCGTGACCCACCCGCCCGCCTGACCCGCTTCGTCCGATCGCGCGCGAGAAGGCCCCACACCTTCCTGTCCCGCCCGCCTCGCCCGCCCTGCTCGCGTGCCCCGCCCCACCTGGCCGGGCTCTGCAGAATCCTGCGTGCAGATGCCCCGCCCGCTCGCCCCGCCCCGCCCGTAGGCCCGCTTCGCTGGGCCACACTCGATAGAGATCCATACGTTCTTGTCCCGCCCGCCCGACCCGCCCGTCGGCCCCGCCCCGCCGACCGTCGGGAGCGGCCAAGAGGGGGGTGTCCAAGGGGTGGGGGGTGCAAATCATGACCGGCGGCAGGTGCGCGGCCCATGGGGGGGGGCCAGGGACGCAATGGAATAAGAGGAGGCGCCATGAGATCTGAGGAGATATCTATCGTGGCCCCCGCCATGATATCCACCCCCCCCCCTAGTCACCACAGACCCCTCTTTGCCGCCCCCGAGACCGCACTCGATAGAGACCCACACTTCCATGTCTGGCCCTCCCGACCCGCCTGGCTCATCCGTCGGCGCCGCTCTGCCGACCACGCCCGACAGAGACCCACTCGTCACGGTCGGACCTGGGACAGAAGAACAGCCTACAAGCCTCGTCAAGACATATCCAGAAATGGAAGTTGAAATCCCGGAGCACGACGCTTTCGGGCACTTGTCTGAAAGCTCGTTCTGCAATGCTGAGGGGGCGGGGGCGGTTTTTGGACAACACCGCGTCCGAGTCAACAGGCATCCGTCAGCATTGGAGTAGCGCTGACCCCACAATCACCGAATTCAGAAGTCTTCTGTTTATTTTTGACGAGGCTTGTAGGGCCATCCTAGGACATGAGACCCTCCGCTGGCCAAACTCAGAGAACATCCAAGGGCACCCTCCCCAGGGTGCACGAGAACACCCAGCGAGCACGAAAAACCTCAGGGTACCCTCCCCGAGTCGACCTCGATCTCAGACCTCGGTCCGACCGTACAGCGGATAGACATCCACACTTTCATGCCCCGCCCGCCCGACCCGCCCCGCTCTTCGCCCTGCCCCGCCCGACCAGACTCGATAGGGCTCCACACTGTTTGACGCCCGCCCGGCCCGCCCTGCCTGGCTCGCCCGCTGGGACCGCCCGCCAG